CTGCTCACAACCCCATGTTACCTACTTCTGGAGCGGTTGGACTCCTCCCGTAAGAGAAATGTGCATTCAAAAGAGCTTGATCTGAAACGTCCAAATATCACTATAACCATAAGTAGATGCAAAAATTCAATACAAGCCCTTCAGGTGGATTCAGACGAAGAGCCTCGGAAACGCAAAAGGGTTCCAAGGCCAGTGGTGTGTGCTTCGTGATCGATAAGTCAGTCGTTATTGTTCTTTTGGTGAGTAATCTTTGCCGTTTCACTATCCCTGTTTCTCTATGGCTTTCCTTTCCTATCGTCCATTTCATCTCCTTAGAATTTTCCTCTCCTCATTTTTCATTTTGGTTCATTTTGGAGAGAGGGGAGGGGCAGTTGGAGACTATGCCACACAATGCACTGTTTATGTGCCCCCTCTTAGCCGATGTCCTTTGAAAGGGTCCACGGAGAGCACATTGTTTCTATAAAGAGTGGAATCGAATGGAAAACCGAGTGGCTTTGTTTTGTTGCCGAGTGCCCACCCCGACGCTTGTTTGACCCCATTTGCCGTAAACATGTATACCCAAAGATATTGGTTCAGCGCGCGCTAACAGAACCCATTTAATTGACATCTACTACTAAGAGGCTGAGCTGGTGCAGTGGTAAGAGTGACATGCTTATCTCGCGCGGTCCGAGGTCCAAACCCCGTGTTGGGTTCTTCCCTGGCCAACCGAGCCCTCTTTTCTTTGAGGACGGTGAGATGGTACGAAATTGCTGGGTGGAGAAGAACAATGACTTGGCTGGCCACAGCAAGTCATTACATGGGCTACATCGCCTTCAATAAGGCAGTGCGAGTCTCTCACACTTTCATTTTCCTCAGACACTCCTTACTTTTTGTCGTTTGAATTCTATAATGGGGATTTTTTTGATGCTTGGATTCCTTCTTAAGACATATTTTTCAGTTTGCACTCCCCTCGCACTGCCAAATGGCCCCATTCGGTGAAATAGGTTGTATTGCTGGAATCCTGTGTTTTCTTCTTTCGGGACAAGGGATGGCATTTATCTAGTTTGGCATGGCCACGCTTCTTCTCCAGTCGGCTGAGCCCACTCGAATGCACAGTTTTTGACTGAGGATGGGTTTGAGCGAGTTTGGTTCGCGCAGTTGAAGGAGTGAACGTAGAAGAAGTGGAGCTTCACCCACTGCCCCTGTCCATCTTATTGTTACCCCCTTTTGTTGGCGTGTAAACTGAAATACGCGTTAGCATTCATTGTTGTCTTTGATGTGTTGGAAGAATCATTGTTGTCTGATTATATTTTTCATTTTACTTGTCATTTTATTAGTTGTGATCAAGAAAATCCTATGAATTGTACTGTTAACTGATTTAACTGCCTCAAAAAGTGGCACTTGAGAATGTAGATGAACTCGTCTTTATTGCGGTGAATATTGAGATGTTGTATTTTTGAATATATGGCCTCGAGTTGTTGTTGTGTTATGAGAATGAAAATGGTTTTGAAGTTCGAAGACTGGTTCTCGGCGCTATTATAGTGTGCGGCTGAAACTGCTCCTCTACCCCCCCCCCCCCCCCCCCCCTTCACCAGGGCGGCAATTTCTTAAGCTTCCCAGGCTCTAGGTTATACAGCACTTCCACATTGCAGTGA